GTGGAATGTCTACTGTTGTTATATATATATATTGTGATAATGCTGTATTATATATATATATATATATATATATATATATATATATATATATAGTTATATGGTGATAAGTTAGATTAATTTTCATAATAATGTTAGTGATAATAGAAACAATAGTAATGAAAATTATAAAGAAAATATTGCTGGCAATGTTAATAATGATGATAAAGATCATAGTACTAATAATGATAATGATAATAATAAGATAATAATAATAATGAGAGGGATAGCGTGGTGATATAATAGCAATAATAATGATATAATAATTGATATTAATAATGAGAAAAAAGATTATAATGACTATGATGATGATCATATAATGCTTGTTGTTGTCGTTAGTGTCATGGTTATCATTGCTATTGTTCTATTACATCATTGTCATTGTTGTTATGGTTATTATTGATTTGTTGTGTATATTATATAATTATTATTGTCATTTTTAATATTATGATGATGATGATTATTGTTGTTGTTTTTGTTGTCGTTCATTGTTGTCATTATTCATTATTGTTGTGAAATATTAGTATTTTTGTTATTGTTATTATCATCATCATACCATCATTACTATAATTACTGTTATCAATATTATTATTGTCATTATTATTGAGAATAATATTAGTTAATTACTATTATTATGATTATAATGATGATGATGATTATTACTATTACTATTATCACTTTATTTCTTATTGTTTTCGTGATGTTATTATTGTAGTTATAATTTGTATCATTAGTACTAGTATTAGTATCACTATCATACTTCAAGCAACCACGGTGGTTATCCTTGTTATTATTACTATTATTCTGAATACATTAATATTGTTATCACTATCATAAACATAATTTCCACTATTATTATTATTTTGATATCAGTATTACTTTCTTATATAATCTTTCTATACCTGTTATCGTAATCATTGGTATTTTCTTGAATTTAATTCCAGGGATAGTTTGATAGGTCCATAATTTCCTGTCGTTTCCCTTATTTCTTTTCGCACGTACGTTTTATGCAGTCTATTCTATCTCTTCTTCTCAGTCCATTTGTTTTTTTCTTTTACTTGCTCCTTCATCTTTCGTATTTTCTGTTGGTCTGCACTTTATTTATTTATTTATTTTCGTTGATGCTTCTCTTCTCCTTTGCTGCCCAACTCCTCGTCTCCCTCGTCGTTCTTCTTCTCGTCCTTCTTCTTCTTCTTCTCCTCCTCCTTCATCTCCTTATTCTTCTCCTCCTCCCCCTCCTTTTCCATCTTCTACTCCTCCCTTCCTTCTTCTACTCCTCCTCCTCCTCCTTCTTCCCCTCTTTCTCCTTATTCTCCTTCTCCATCTTCTCCCCGCGCTCCTCCTCCTCCTCATCTTTCTTCTTCCTCTTCTTTTTCTTCTCCTCCACCTCCTTTTCCTCTTTCATCTTCTCCTCCTCCTCCTTTTCCTCTTTCATCTTCTCCTCCTCCTCCTTTTTCATCTCCTCTTCCTACTTCTCTTCTTCTTCCGTCTCCTCCTTCACCTTTTTTCTCCTCCTCCTCTTCTTCTTCCCTCTCCTCCTTCACCTTCTTTTTCTCCTCCTCCTCCTTCTTTTCCTCCTCCGCCTTTCTCCATTTTTAGCCTTTTTATCATTATTATCAGTAGGAGTGGTATTGCAAACATCATCATATCTGATCATTTTTGTTATTGCTACCATTGTTGTTGTTACCCCCCCCCCACACACACACACACCGATTTCTTTTCTTCATCTTTCTTCCGTCTCCCTCTTTCTCTCCTTTCTTCGCTCCCAGCTTCGACCTCCTCGCAAAAGGCCACACTAGACTGCGGCCAAACGACACCACTTGATTCCCACCGAGACACAATGCCTCAAAATAAGAAAAGAAAAGAAGAAAAGTGAAAAAAAAAGAAAAACGAAATTTACCCTCAACAACCCAACAATAAAAAAAACTAGGCAATCACATAACACTATGGATACTCACTTGTTCACTTGTTCGCTGCTGCTCGCCCGAACAATGGCTTCTTTCTCCTCCCTTCTTGGGGCTTTTTAAAGTCAAGATGGAGAGATATGTGGATAGAGAGGGAAAGAGGGAGACGGAGAGGGAGAGAAAGGGTAGAATTAGAAAGAGGGGAGAAAGAAAGGAAAGGGGATAAGGAGAGAGGGGGAGGGATGGGGAAGGGAGAGCGAGGAAAGAGAGGGATGAGGGAGGTAGCGATGTAAAGCAATAAAAATGTGCTTATATATTATCTAGCAATCTATACTTGATACGCTTCGCCGACGGCTACCAGCGCGCACATCTACGACTCACCTAGAGAACGCTAGACGCTAAGCTCAGCGTATCGCACATGACGGCTATCTCTATATATATCTATATACGTAGTACATATAATATATTCATACTATGATGGGAGAGAAAAGAATGACTGAGCAGGCGACAACAAGAGGGACCAGCAAGAGAGACGAGAGAGAGCACGAGAGGCAGAGGCGCCCACGCGCGTGAGTAGACAGATAGGAGAGACAAGCCATCATTCGCCCACTGAGACAGAGAGAGGGACGAGACGAGCAGAGACACGGAGACCCGAACAATTAGGAGAGCTGGAGTAGAGAAAGAGAGGCGAGAGGATGAGAGAGAAATAAGAGAGCAAATGACAAGGGGGGGGAGAAGCAGAGAAGAGAGCGAGAGGATGGGAAGCAATATAAAAGAAGACGAGAGAGACGGAAGACGAAGTCCCAGCCGGGGGATAAGATCTAACATCTACTGCATGAGCTCTACTCCCTGCACCACCCTGTCTATCGGATCACTACTGCTGTGACAGATTAATTGCCTTCAACACCCCTACGCTATCTTAACCTACTCCAACGAGCCCTCTGTATACAAACCAAGATCTCAAGTCTTCAGAAGTCCGAATGGCCCGATCCTCCCAAGTCCACGCGAGTATCACCTGGTAGTTAGGCCACTCTCTCTGACCGCGATCTTCGTTGCCTGCCGACTGAGTCTGACCGGTCACTCGAGACACGTCCCTCCACCTGATTCACGATCATAAATACGAATGACATTCAATTCGGGCATGGCTTAGATTCGCTCTTTGCAATGGGAATCTAAATTAAGATTGATATGAATCCACATAAGAGGTTTTCTTTGAATGATAGGGAGTGGATTTACCAGACGAGACAGCCACTATGAGCGTCTCCCCCCTCTGCTCCGGAGCCCAGCCACTCGTTTCGCAAGTTAATGTAATGCCAGATTTTGTAGACGATGCCTATGCTCTGATCAGCGTCTTGCTCGCTCGATATCGCTGCGCGATCTGAGGCGCAGACTTCTGCTCTGCCCACTGATTCCGTACACTGCGGCCCCCTCATCATGCCCGAGATGACGCAGCATCAGCAATGCACGGCGCCTAACCGCCCAGACCCGCGGGCTCCGATGAGCCCTGTAGAGACGATGCCTGTCGCCAGGTCCTCTCACTAGACACGACCAGACACGCCTATCACCAATCGCGAGAAGGCATTGCCACCGGAAGCCCTAGTCTTCACGATGTCTCTCAATACTACCGACCCTCATCACTGCATCCAAGCTTCATCAAAATGCCTACAGTGACTAGCAGAATCGACTCTAACATCTCTCACCACACTATGAGGATCCATCGCGGGTTCGTTGTACACACCGTCAACTTCGAGAGTCGATATGGCCAGCGACAAACGAGTCATCTGATTAGACGATAACTGAATATCGTATTTGTCCGGCGCCGACTGATCCACTGAATAGAGACTGAAGAGTCCAGAGAGGCAACGTGAGCAGATTCTATCCACAGCATCCTTCCAGACTGACGAACGAAGCAGAGAGACCTTTCGAGACACAGACGCCAAGACGAGAGAGAAGACCGCGAAGGGACACACGCCTACGTGCAGGTTCGTACTCGAGAGGAGATAGATGAGCATCATCTACACAGATCATACCACATCATCCTATCATCGATCGGAAAGCTCTCAATGAATTCGCCAACAAGCAGAGAGATGACCAGACGACGAAAGAGACAGAAAAGATGATCACCAAGTGATGAGAGAGAGAGAACAGAGGTGTGAGCGCAAATCAGTGACCCGAGAGGGCAAAAGAAAGCAAGAAACACGAGGTACCGGTTATTCGCGACCGCCAGCCTTTGTATCAATCCATCGC